TTGCTGTATACATACACGTAGTATACAATAAATTTTTTTTACTTTAGTTTTTTTTATTTTTTTTTATTTTTATTTTTTATTTTTTTTAATATAATTTTATAAGCCGTGAAATATAATATTTAAACACATTACTTTGGTTTATAAGAGAGCAAGAATGTAATGTTCTTCTTTGTACTGTATATATCATATGAATATGAATAAAAAATATTTACTATGCCTCTACATGTGATATACAAAAGAACTTAATTAGATGTGAAGATATTGTTTATAATGCTATTAAGACTTGTCCTGTTTAAGCCAATACAAAATATATTACCAGATACTATTTAAAAATTCGAGACAATGAGCCCTCTGAGCTTAGCAGCATTTATTATTTCTTCTTTAAATTACTTCTACTAATCCTCTAAAATCCTTTCACAGTAAGTTAAAGGCAAAAATTTCTGTTCAATATGGTTTAATTAGCGAGTATCTTACTAGTTTAAAACCTTTTTTATTTTTTGCTTGAAAAAATTTCATGTTAGATTTTGTCAAACACTCACTACATAGTAAAATTGCAGCAAATCGAATTTGTATTGCTAAAAAAAATACATAGATTTTGTTTTTATATGATAATAATATTATTTATAGAGATCTGATAAGTATAGCGCTATATACATTTTACTAGATTTTATATTTATAATTTACTAATACAATAATTTAGTATTCAAAAAACATTTTAATTCATCAAAGTTACCCAAATATTACAAATTTTGGACTATCAAAGCAAATAAATAAAATGTCTATGATTTCAAATTTAATTGTCTATAGAATACTGGCATATATTGTAACTTATGTCTTATTAAGAATGCATGTAAAGATGATAAGATATTTGATGTCTATAGCTTTAGACAAATTTTTTAGGAAATTTCAAGTATAAAATCCCATATTGATCTATTGAGTCTGTACTTATACTTGTTATTCATATTTTTAAGATATTATCTCAATATATTGAACTTTACAAAAAATGGAAACAACAATTCCACCAATCATCCAGACGCAAGAGTAATTTTTAATGAAATTTTGAATCAACACCATATTAAAACATCAGCTCAAAACAATAAAATTTCAAGTTATTAAGGTAATTTAAACTTTCTTATAAAACTACTTAAAGCTGCAATTAGGGTTGTATTACACAAAATTACATTTTTTATTATATAAAATTATGTTGTAACTTATGAAACTGTAATATAACTTTACAATATATAGCATATTGTTACATGATAATTGTACTAGTATTATAAAGTTTTTCTAGCATTAATAGATGTCTATTATTGTGTTCAGACTTTAATTTTATAATTATTTTTATATTAACTTTACAAAAATTTTGGCCCAAATTATTCACTGATCAAAATTACATATACTGTAATTTTGATCTCAGAAACTTATATAAAATTATAGTAATTTTCTAATCCTAGTTACAAGGTCTTTATTTTATTTGTCTGATATTTCAGTGCAGGACAATAGTATTCTTATAAATTTGAAAAAAAAGCATACAAATTTTTTGAGAAAGGCAAATTTTCAAAACATTAAAACTTATGAAGAATTTCTTGAAAATAGTTAACCTAGTCTAAAGATCAAAAAAATGATTCAACCTGTAATCTATCTCATGTCTAAAATTTTTATCAAATTAAAAATAGCATTTTACAAGAACATCATGTGGATTTTATTAGATCTTAGTTCAAATGAACTTGGACAATTTGATGAAAAAGTATTAGTAGATACACTCTACAAAAATACTATACTGAAAGATTAGTAATGGTCTTGGATTAGAAAGAGGAAAAGTATTATTAAATATACTTTTCAAGAACATGTTAAGGGATTTTATATTAGTAATACTAGTAGCAATATTAGATCAGAAGAAAAAATGTTAGCAGATGCACTTTGTAAGAATATTATATTGGCTTCTTCGAATTTTGAAAATAATAATCTTAGATCAAAGAAAAAAAAGTTATTAAAAGGTATTTTGTAATAAAACTTTGCTGACTTCTTTGAACTTTTCGATCTAATAATTTTGAATTATAATAATAAATATTTTAGATATGGTTTAGTTTTTTTGATATTCAAAAGCAATTTTAAATTAAAGGTTAAAATTTTTTTTTTTAGCATGCAAGTTCGATTGGTTATAATATTACTATATAATGAATGACCAATGAAATCTGATATAAATTTTTTTTTTTTTTATAGTACTTATTTATTATTATTATTTAGAAGCATATCAAATTCTTTTAGAACTTGACTACAAAAAAATGATAGCTACAAAAGAAACTGCAATCGAATTTTGTACCAAAAGAATTTCTCTCGCTAATATTAGACCAGAAATTCTTGATGAGATCCATAAATTTCCCTTTACTCTTCAAAAACTTATTGCAAAAGAAGTACATGTCATTGCAAAAAGACTAGAAGAAGGAAAGGGCTTACCAAATCTTGCAAGTGCAGAATGTTTATACAGATTCTTCAATTGGTATATATTACTATGCCACTATATTTTCTATGAACAACTTTGTAATACTAATATTTAATATCAGAAGCTTAGAAAAACTTTCAAAAATATTCGAGGAGAAGAGCATAGAAGTATATCAAACTCATGGTATTGTAGAAATACCTGTCATTCAGGTGTTTGCAGCAAATAAAATAGCTGAAAAAAATCATTCAAAAATAAATGAATTATTTGAAAGAACCAGAGACTATTACTACAAATTGGCAGAGAAAAGAGTGTACGAAGTATCATGATTTATTGATAATTTGAAAAAAAATATTATTTCCAGCAATTAATTGAAAAAAAAAAAAAAAAAAAAAT